AAAAGTCCAGAGTAAGAGTTGCATAGTAAAGTGGTGTCGGTGTGGGAGGACTGTATAACAATGAAATAGCTTTTTTTCCCAAAGAAAAAAGTAAACTGAGTGAGAGGGGAGACAGGGAGGAAAATGTTAACAATGAATGAATGGAAATCCAAGTTCTTTATAAACTTTCATTAAAATATAAAAAAAAATGTGGAGGTAAGAGTAAAAGTTAGACACACACTTTAACTAAGTTATAGGACTGCTGGAACTCAAGGAAAAAGAGTAGGAAAATCCTAAAAAGCATCTACCTGCAAAACACCCTAAGGTCATCACAGTAAAGTGAGATTGTAATAGTAACTCCAAAACAAAACTCACTGCTATCAAGTCAGACTCACAGCAATCCAATATGTTACAGACCAGAAATGAGCTCCCTCTGGTTTTCTTGGCTGTAATCTTTTATGGAAGCAGATGACCAGGCTTTTTTCCTGGACACCAATGGATGTGAAACACCAATCTTTTGTTAGCAGTCAACTGTAAACTACTTGTGCCACCGAGGGACCCAATAAACTCAACTCATCACCATCAAGTGGGAACCGACTCATAACTATCCTTCACCGATAAAGTGCACTGGAGGAGATAGTCTATCCTTCCCCTCAGAGTCGCTGGAAGGTTCAAACGAACATCAAGGCCCTGCCTTTAGGTCAGCAGTGCTCTCTCAATGGACTTCACCACCTGGGCTACCTCTGGCAACTACTTATTTCAAAGATCCAATGAGCTGATACATCAAGTTCTAAAGCAGCAGCACCTTGTACATAAAGGCTCCCAAAATGGTGACTTTTATTATAGACTTTGTCAGTGAATTACTGAACTGTATAGATGAGGAAAAAACAATGCAAAAGAGAAAACCTGTGCCTTTTATCAGTGACAAATAGATATAGATTTAAATTCACACCAAATATAACCAGGTGTCCACAGAGAAGCAAAGATTTTTTGCCCCTATATCTCCTGTATATTCCAGTTTGGCATCCCTTGACTGCTGGCCATTATAGATAATTCTCTAAAATAAAGAGGACAAGAAAACAATCCCTAAAACCATAGGTATTCAACACTATCTTGATTGAAAAGGCAGCTTGGAAATAGTGTTTCATTCTTCAATAAATTTGGTCTTTTTGTGCCTCAGTTCTCATTTTCTCGGGGTAACTCCAAGCAGTGGAATAGTTGGGTCATATGGAATTTCTATGTTCAGCTTTCTGAGGAAGCACCAAACTGCCTTCCAGAATGGTTGTACCATTTTACAATCCCACCAACAATGTATGAGTTCCTATCTCACCACATCCTCTCCAACATCTATTACTTGCTATCCTATTAAATCCAATGTTCATAGCAGCTTTATTAACCATTGCAAGAACATGGAAATAGCTCAAATGGTACTTTCAAATGATGGAATACTACTCAGCACACAGGAGCAATGATTTTGTATATCACTACCTAACTTGGGAGGGACTGGAGAGCATTATGCCGAGTGAAATAGCTCAGTCCCATAAGGACAAATATTTCATAAGATCATTATCGTAGAATGAGTATAAGGATCCAAGGTGGGGAGCAGAGGGGTGAGGATAGGTGGATGGTATTTAATCACAGTGCTGCACAATTTGATGAGGGTGTGTGTGAAGGAAATGGGAAAGATCCAGTGTGAAAAACAATGTATAAGAACTTTGTAAATAAACCAGTATTTATTTTTTTAAAAAAATAAATTTGGTCTTTAATTGCCTTAGCCAACTCTTCCACTTCTCCTTATCTCTATACTTTTGTTTATCTTTACCTCTAAGGTTATTATTTGCCTCTCAGGATTTAACAAAGGTCACCTAAGAACCAGGAGCCTCAAGCATAGGACACTCTTGTTCTCACTGATCACAGAGAAGGGAGGAACAGAGAAGGCATCAGAGAGATTATAAAGAGTCCCTCCCAGAGGGGCAACATTCAAGTGCTCAGCTACTAACCGAAATGCTGTCAGTTCAAATGCTCCATTTTCTCAACGAGAAAAAGATGTGGCACACTGCTTCCATGAAGAATGCGGCTGTGTGCATTTAATAGGTTCTAACACACAGTGGCCCAGAGGACAGGAGGACCTCCCACAGGGTTTCCTGGGCTATAGTCTTCATGGGAGCAGAGCGTGAGCAGTGGGTCTAAAACACGGACCTTTCACTTAGCAGTCCCCCACATTGTGCCACGAGGATACCTTCTGTGAAGACAGTGGTGGCCTGGGAATCTACCAAGAGGCAGCCTGTTCTACTCTGTCCCGTGGAGTTGCTATGAGCTAGAACCAACAACACAGACAGTACAAACTCACTTTATACAGCTGAGAAAATCGAGGCACAGAATGGCCAGGTCACTGTCCAATTTAACAGCAGAGCTGAGCCTAAGTCAATGTGGCCCGTGGAAAAGGCCTTTGCTGTCAGAGCCCAAAGCAAGCCCAGGGAAGCATCCCATAACTGGAAGACACTCAGGCTACATTTGCTGTCTCTTATCTACTCCTACTCAACCAGGGGGATTCCAAACGCCTCTTGTGTGGCACACTCTAAATGAAAGATGGAAGGACTAGGTTATGGTCAGAAGATGCTTCTTTGCTGTTTGTCAGAAAGTAGAGAGGTTCTCTCAGCCCAGAGAGAATTAATCTACTCTTATGATCAGACATGGCAGCTTCTAGCTTCAGAGTTCTCTGCTTATACTAAGATCCCAAGGGAAAGGAAAAAAAAAGAGAGAGATTACTCACCTTGTGATACAGTTAACATTGACCATTCAATAGTACTAAGCATATTTCTAACCAACTATAATTTAATTGATGGAACGCTATAAAGATCACAGGAAAGCCCTGTGATGGACAATGATACACAAGAATTTTGATGAATCTCACACATAAATTGTTGAATGAGAGAAATCAGATAAAAAGTGCACATATTGCATGCTTCTATTTATATAAAGTATGCAGCCAAGCAAAACTGCCTTCTGTTCAAAGTCAGAGCAATAACTTGAAGATAGGGAGGGAGATTTCTGGGGTTCTAGAATGTTCTGTTTCTTGATCTGAGTACTGGTCACCCAAGAAGTGTTTAGTTTATGAAAATGCATGGAGTTAGACACTTGGGACATGTGCACTTTCCTTTAGCGAGACATAATACGGAAATAATCTTGTAAGAAATGCCGCCTTTCACCCTCAGTACAGAATGAAGCTTAATGGGGTTAACCTGAGAATATGACTAGGAATTTCACTCAAAGGAGGATTTTCCTTCTGGAGGCCAAATGCTTCATGCCTTGCACATATGCCATGCTCTTATGTCTTTGGTGGGATGTGAATGGGGCACGTGTGGAACCAGGCACACTGCATAAATGATACTATGTTCTGGAGAGGCCACAGAACTGTCTCAGCCTGTTTCTTCTCCAATCCCCCAGGGCTGGAAGAGAAGGGAGCTGAGGCGTGGGAGAGAAATCTCGATGGCTGCATCTCTCTCATAAATGTTCTTCTCAGACGAACAAAGAAAAGGGAATGGGAATTACCAGTCAACCCCTTTTCTTCTCAAGACAGTCTAAGTGCCAAAATTATGGAGCAGAGGTGAAGTGGTATGTGGTTACCATCACGGTTTTATTTAAAGGAGGTTTTCATTTTGGTCACACACACACACGCGCGCGCGCGCGCGCTACAGAATAATTCAAACTGATGACAACCAAGTTAGAACAGATGCTGGGAACCATGGATGAGACAGTGAAAAGCACCCTCAGTCCTAAACGAAGTGTGGTCCAACCACAGAGCAGCAGGGCCACTAAAAATAGCCAGTGGGCTTTGGGGAGGCGTTCTCTTTCTCTTCCTTCTTTGTCTGATGTCTGCACTCTCAATATCCTACCACGAAGACACAGGAAAGCCCCTTATGCAGATGGCAGAGTCTAAGTCAATTTTTTCCAGGCTGGTTAAAAAAAAAAAAGGAAGAAACTCCATTCTCTGTATCTGGAAAGCTTTAAAAATCGCCAAACTGATCAAAAGCTACAGCTCTATCCACTGCAATCTTCATTACCAAAGTCCTTTCTATTCTAGCCTTAAATTTTTAAAAAATTCTGTGTGTGGTTTTTTTTTTTAATTTTATTATCCAGACTCAAATCTTAACACTGGATTTTGTTAAGTGGAAACCAGTGAATTCCAAATAGCCCTAATTATTCACTTTCTCCCTCTAACACACGAGATTATTTGCCTTCACAAGTCATGTGGGGATGTCTGATCTTGAAGGCTAGACATACTGCATGGGAACTTTTGCACCACTTGTTGCCAAACCTCATGCATAAATGACTGCCAAGAGTTCACAGTGAGGAAGCTTAGGAAACAGGCTCCTCACTCTCGAAGAAGCTGACCTCACCAATGATTCTAAGGTGGATTTAGCACATGGCTTTTGATTATAACAATTCTTGTGAGCTTGTCCTCGATTGAATTACTCAACCTTCACCCAAGGAACTGTAATTATCTTTGAACCCCAGAGAGGATGCAGGAACCCAAAGACAAAATATAAGTCATGATACGAATAATGGAAGTTCCTGGGTCCACCTTAGCCAAGATGAGAACCTGGGAAAGGAAGTGATTAAAAAAATAGGCATGAACGTGCTAAATAAATGACAAGAAAGTATGCAATGACCTTGGAGACCCCGGAATCCGCACAGCTTCCCACATCACTTGGTGGAAACCAACCAAACACAGCCATTATTAATATATTCAGATCATGAATTATTTTGCCAGCCTGAGGTTATTCCTGGCAAACGGCTCCTTTCCCAGGGCCCCTATTAATTTGGCTCACAAAGGAAGAAATGTGTGCCAATCCACCTCTTTTTCTCCACAGGCATGTTGGTAAGGCACCGCCAGTAACATGGTGAGGTTCAAAGTCTTGATGAATCAATTAAATAGCCTTTCTCTCATTAGTAAATCTGTTCCATTGTTCTCCTCCTCCACCCACCAAGAAGTACCCTGATGAGGAAAACGTAGATACCTTTTTAAAGAGTCTTCCTGAGTCTTCGCTGACTTGGACAAATCGAGGGATGATGTTATTCAGGTAGATGTCGCTCAAGGTGGTATGGTCCCGGCTCTCTCGCTTCACCTGGTTTAAGAGGAGATTCCAGCAGTTGACCGGAGAAAGAACGTTCTGGTCTTTCCTGCAAAGAAACAACAAAGGAGGGAGGAAGAAAAGAAAAAGAAAAAAAAAATCAATGTGGCTAAGTAGCCAGGGCCAATGGTTATGATCACAGATAATGTCACAAAATCACAGCAATCAAAACCAACCCAGAAATCAAGCTGCTTGAGGATGGCATCTCTGGTATTCTTCTCTCAAGGCTCTCCCCCTTGGAGAAAAAGGGGGTGATAAGAACAACAAGAACCAAAGAGGAGAGAGTGAGAGGAATGAGAAGAAGCAAGATTATCTTCTGAGCACCTACCATGTTCTAGGAACTCGCACAATTCTTGATGTGTATTGTAGCACCTAAGCCCCAAGACTTTGTCACAAAAGCAAGGGCTGTGAGTATTCCACTCATTAGGAAACTGAAGCTCAGACAGGTTGTCACTTGTTCAGGGTTGGTAAGAGGGAGTCAGAGACCAGAATCACAGTTCCGAGTTATCCCATTAGAACCAGCCATTTGATTCGCATCAACAACCTTGTGGATAATGACATTTCTGACAACATCACCAGCCCATAGGTGACTACACTATCACAAAATTGTTAGATTTGACTCGGGGAAGACGAACAACAAAATGGTTCACTAAGGTAACTTTAAAGGCATTTGTCACGGGGTAGGGGTGGAGAGGAATCACTGAAAATTATTCCATTCCATAGACGACATGGAGGTGATTTTTTTTTTCTTTTCTCCTTTTTTCGTTGTGTACGGTTGAGTCAGAACTGACTGGCACAGGAGGAAACTGCTCCTCCTTCTCCAGAAGATGAAATCCACAACCTGGTGGATTCCAACCATATGTCTTCGGGACTGCAGTGCAGCTTCTTGTCACGAGGCCACCACAGCTATCACACTGAGGTGGTTTTAACTGCATAATTTCATGCCTCATGACCCATGTAACAAGGTGCACCACCCAGATCAGAACATACTTATTCCTGAAATGTCTACAGCTTAAGTGGTGCACGAAAGGGCCAAATCTAGTCACTTGTTTCTAATGAAAACATTGTGATCCAGAACAATTCTTGATGGCCTCTTCCATTCACAGCAGTAATTTAAGCAATGGAAAGTTCTGCACTTGGAATTTAGCTTGCATTATGCGCAGAAATAGAAAACAGCATATATTTGTACCATGTATGATGGCACTCAGTCTGGCCCTTCAGGTATGCTGTTTAATTTACACTCCTAACATCTAATCAATGGCTATTATTAACCATCTTTTACAAACAAAGAAAATAGGAGTGGGCATGGTTAACCACCATGCCCAAGGTGACAGAGTCAAATGTGGCCATGCTGGCAGTAAACACCAAGATAGTAAATGCAAAGTCGAGTGTGTCGTTCAGCACTGCAAGGAGTCACAATCTGTTCATTCCATTTCACCTCTTTCTTCCCTGCAGTGAGACTCTTGATATAATAGAGATGAGGGAGATTGGTTCTTGAGTCAGCAATGCCCCTATTCAAGACTGGATGCTGCCAACTACCTGTGATTGATTTGTAGACCACGGAATGTGACTTAGAAAAGCTTTTCCAACTCTTCAGCAAGGCAACCATTAATAATGAATCATACCTAGACCAGACCAACAAATAAAAACTCCGTTCAACTGTGGTGTTGGGCCGAACCAATTCATAGCTGACCCTTTGGCAGGTGTGGCTTTAATTTGCATAGGAGTTGACTGCCCATCTTTCTCTCAAGGAGCTGCTGGGTTTGGTGGCGTGATTTCTTACCACTGGGCCACCAGAGCTCCCTAGGTAGCTGCTTCTAACCAATGAACTGTCATGCTGTTGTTGTTGTTGTTGTTTGGTGCCGTCGAGTCGTAGACGACTCATAGCGACCCTATGAACGAACGGCCTGAGCACTGTTCGTACATAGAGTTTCCGGAGGCAAGCTGTTTCGGAAGTGCATGCCGCTCCTGCTTCCAAGCTTGGTTTATTCGGGAAGCTCCAGCCAACACTGTCCACCATGGGTACCCATTACCACAACTGGCACATCACTGTTACAGTCTTCAGCATCACAGCAACCACGAGCTACCTCTCTATAGCAACTCACAGACCAGTGATATACCACCTAGAAGAATGTTTGACAGGAAAACAATTTGAACCTGGCCAAGGGCCGCAGATGAAAATCACCCACTTTCGGCTTGGTAGCATAACTTCCTTTCCACTAGGCCAATACAGCTCTCTCTTTGTCATTGTTGTTATTGTTGTTTGGTGCCGTCGAGTCGTAGATGACTCATAGCGACCCTATGAACTGTCATAGTCAAATTTAAATTTTCTGTATTTGCTGCTACTCTAGGTATTGTGTGTCTATGAATAACGCAGTTAACAGTTACGTGTCCAATGTGCCAAGAACTATGGCAACATTATGCCCAGATTATCTTTCAAATAAAGAAATTAAAAGACACGACAATATGCTAAATGGAAGGGAGAAATACATGTAATCATCCCTTTCAAAAGATTTAGCATGTAAAAAAAAGCGAACAGGAAACACTCTTAAATTCAAAATGGTGAGAAATTTAAGCAGATGTTTTCAGTTATACCTGATGTTTCCATGTGCTGGAAAATTATAAAATTGATTCCAAACTGATTTCAATTATAAAATCCTAAATAATGGAGGCTCTCTGATGGGTTTCCAAGCCTACAAATCTTGACTGGAGAAGATTCTTCATTTTTATTAGGTATTGGGCTCTCTGAGCAGATATTCATGTCCTTCAGTATGCTTGGAATATTATTGGGAAAGTATACTTGGTTTTTAAGAAGGCAGATCTCTAAAACCTTAGATTTCTAATTGCTTTAATGTGTCTATATTCTTGGGAGAACACACGTTGTGATATTTGTTGGCTGGAAAGAAAGGTGGGGGTTGGGGGAGATCTGCTGCCATAGTGCTTTATACACATGAAACTATTACCACAAATCAATCCCACATGTACTGAAAGCAATGGTGTAACTCTGGAGACTAAGCTGTACCTGATACAAGCCATGGTCTTTGTACTCGCTAGTATCAGAGAGCTGGACAATGGCTAGGGAGGATAGAAGGAGAATTGATGCCTTTGAGCTGTGGTGCTGGAGAAGAGTATTGAATGTACCATGGACTGCTAAGAAAACAAACAAGTTCATCCTAGAGAGGGTTAAACCAGGCTGCTCCTTGGAGGCAAGGATTCTGAAGCTTCATCTGATATACTTTGGACATGTTGCAAGGAGGGACCAGTCCTTGGAGAGGGACATCATGCCAGGGAGGGTGAAGGGACAGCGCAGGAGGGGAAGATCCTCCATGAGGTGGATTGATTCAGTGAGTTGGGGGTAATGTGGCTAGGTGTGTCCAAGACAGTGAGATTGGCACAGGATAGAGCAGGGTTTAGGGCTGTTGTACATAGGGTCATTATGAGTGGCAGATGACTCTATGACACATAACAAAACAACAACAACATAAAATAACAGTTTGCAGTACTTGGCACTTTCATAAACAAAATCCAAGTATTGCTGTCAAGTGGATTCCAACTCCTCAGGACCCTACAGTACAGAATAGAGTTGTTCCATAGGGTTTTGGAGGCTGTCATCTTTCTAGGGCCAGTCTGCCAAGTCTTTCTCCTGCTTGAGTTCAAACCACGGACCTTCTGATTAGGACTGTCAAGTGCTTAATCACCAAGTGTAAGCAGGGCTCCTAACCAGGACCTTTCCAAAATCCACTGTTGAGTTGGTTTCAACTCACAGCAACCCCCTATTTGGTTTCCAAGACCGTAAATCTTTACTGAAGGGGACTATCCACCTTGTTCCCAAGGAGCTGCAGGCAGACATGTGACTGACTAATCAACAACTAGAACTTCTTATATTAAGTGCTTCAACAGGTACAAAAATGCTGATGGCACAGTCTAATGCAGGAAACAGAGTAGGACGTAAAGCTGACCAAAGCAAGCTTTACTATAGGTACAAAGGGCCAGCTAGCTCACACATCACAAGTGGCAGCGGGAGGTATTACTGAGCAGCACTATGAAAAAGGATACAGAGCATGTCCCCCTGGGGACACTAAGAAGAAAGACTGAGGAAATGAAAACGGACTAATAAAAAGAATGAGTTAGAGTGGGCATCTTTTAAAATAAAGTGCCTTGTCATTTATAGTAAAGCATCCATCTGAACGAGTACACATTCAAAATGAACAAGGGCCCTGGGACTCGGCTCCCTGTGCTAGAGGTCACACCCATGTCATCCCGAACTGCTAACGAGTCGGAATAAAGAACTTGCTGCTTTCACGACATGAACTGGAACTTCTGGAAAAATGTGTTACTGCTTAGCATGAAGGTAGTTTTGAAACCAGCCTGTTTGTAAACTCAAGCTTGCATGCATCTCCCTGGGTAAAATCCTGCAGAGGTAGGTACAGGACTCAACAGGTAGACACCAAATGCCACAAAAGCTCAGGAACCTGCCCTGGGTAAAATCCTGCAGAGGTAGGTACAGGACTCAACAGGTAGACACCAAATGCCACAAAAGCTCAGGAACCTGTGTTGGGTCCACAGCAGGAACAAGGTGATGTAATGAGAATCAACATCCTAACATCACAGGAACTCATTATCAATTGTTTCTGTGCTCATTATTCCTTCCGGGTCTTATCTAATAAGTATTTTGGGGGTCTAATCTAATCAGTACTTACAACAGAGCATGGGAATAACTGTTAGGCAATATGGCTGAAACCTTATCCTAGTTGTCCTTTGGGTCTAAATCAAATTACTTTATGACTTATCTCATGATTACAACAATTCTTAGGTGTGAATCAAGATCTTCTTCATATTAGGCAACTGAAACCCAAATCCGAAACAATCTGGGTGTTGAAACAGGTCTTAAATCAACTCTCATTCATAATTCCAATTTGAAGAGTTTCAGTTCATAAACAGTCTTATTGTTCTCATGATTGATTAAGGAGTGTTTATAAATTTTTTACTAAAGACGTAGCCTTATAGCAATAAAACACTGCTTTGGTCTGTTTCATATACTGGGATATG